CAGTCAGAACAATTAATCAGTGGAACAGAAATTGCCTCCAGAGGTTGTGAATGCTCCAACACTGGAAGTCTTTAAGAAGAGATTGGACAACCATTTGTCTGAAACGTTCTAGGGTTTCCTGCCTAGGCAGAGGGTTGGACTAGAAGACCTCCAAGGTCCCTTCCAACTCTTGTTAATCTGTTCTATCTGTTCTATTCCTTTCTCCCTCCAGGCTGCCCCAGAGGAAGGATGGAGGAGCTGAGCCAGGCTCTGGCCTGCAACTTTGTCGTCTCCCAGGACCTGAACAGCCCTGCGGCTCCTCACCCACGCCTGGCCCAGTACAAGCCCAAGTACAGCTCCCTGGAGCAGGGCGAGAGACGCCGGCGGCTGCTGGAGTTCCAGAAGACGTAAGAGAGTCCACACAAACACACACACACACACTCCCCACGGGCGTTAAAGCCAGCAAGTCTCTTGTACCAGCTTCTCTGTTCCTCTGGAGAGTCATAGCAGGGTTGGGAACGCACCTCATTGAGTTTGCTATTTCTTTCCTTTTAAAAAGTGTAGTTCTTTTTGTTATATTTATTGTGGCTGCTAAGAAAAGTCTCAGTGTGGCGTATAGTATCCAGGTAGCTGATTAAAAACAGTTTAAACAAAAATTTATAAAGGGCAGCTTATAAAAGGAACCATAGCAATAAAAACATGGTTTGAATTTCCTTCTTTCCTTCCTTCCTTCCTTCCTTCCTTCTCTATCCTCCCTCCATTTTCCTTCCTTCCCTCCCTTTTTTCCCCCTTTCTCTCTTTCCTTCCTGCCATCCTTCCTTCTCACTATCCTACCTCCTTGTTTCCTTCCTTCCCTCCTTCCCTTCCCTGCCCTCCTTCTCACTATCCTCCCTCCATTTTCCTTCCCTCCCTCTTTTCCCCTTTCTCTCTTTCCTTCCTACTATCCTTCCTTCCCACTATCCTCCCTCCTTGTTTCCTTCCCTCCTTGTTTCCTTCCCTTTCCTTCCCTCCTCCTCACTATCCTCCCTCTATTTTCCTTCCCTCCATCTTTTCCCCTTTCCCTCCTTCCATCCTTCTCCCTTTTTGGAGATCCATCGTAACTTCAAACAGCCTTTAAGCCATCCACCCTTAAGTGAAGACTTCCAACCTTCAAGGAAATTAAGCCAATTTTTTTCTTAACTTCTAAATGTTGAGCTCTCCTCCTTGCTGTCCCTTGGAGGTGTTTCTTCCCCTGTAGGGTTAAACTTAATTTTAGGGTTTTGTTTTCCTCCCCCACCTCTTGTCAAGTAAGCGGCTGGACTATATAAATCATGCCAGAAGGCTGGCGGAGGATGATTGGACCTACACGGAGGAGGAGGAGGAGGAGAAGGAAGGGGAGAAGAAGGGAGAGGAGGAGGAAGGAGAGACAGCTAAGGCTGATGGAGAACATGAAGACATGGAGCTAGACATTATGAAGAAGTTACCCAAGCGATATGCGAACCAGGTAAGTTGGGAGAAAACAGGGGTGAGTTCTCCCTTGTTTTTTTCATTATTGTCATTTTATTTGTAAGGGGTCCTTAGATCCTGAGTAAGGAGCTGAGTAAAAGTTGCTGCAAGCGATAGGTGTTTTCAATATTTCTCTTCTAGATGGATTTTCTTTTCCTTCCTTTTTTAAAGAGATTTTTATTGAACACGAATTAAAACATTGGACACAGGGTAACCGTCCTGGCAAAGTGTTTACCTCCTAAGATATAAAGTTAAATATTATAACCACCGTGTTTTATTTACAATTGGCCTGTTCAGAATTTACAAATATAAAAATATCGTATTTCCACCCATGTTGCTTTGTTTTTATCTTACACGTTTTCACTGTTATAATTTCATACCTAACTCTAATCTCCATTCTATAAATCTTAGTCCTTGCTTATTGGGGTCTTTCCTTTTTTGGGGGGGGGGGGTTTCCAACCGTCAATAAAATGTATCCCAGGTCTTATAATATTCTGATTCATCTTTATTCTTCAATTCTCATGTCAGTTTATCCATTTTAGCACAAATCAGAATCTTCCTAATTATTTCCTCCTCTTATGGAATTTCCCTGTTGTTGTTGTTTTTTCCCCCCGTTTTGGGCAAAGACCATTCTTGCTGGTGTAATAATATGTATTGTTAAGTAGATTAACCCCTTGTTATGTTTATCGTTTATGATTCCCAAAAGAAATAGTTCTGGTTTGAATTCCATTTCCTCTTCGGTTATTCTTGATGGATTTTCATCAGTCATTGATGTCTCCAAAAAGTTCAGCTTCTCTAGAAAACTTAGGAAATAGATGTTGGGTTTTTACATCGGCATCATTCAGTAGCTGAAGGTGCAATTAATCAAAATAGTCTCAAAATATAAAGCTGGTGGAGGTATGAAACGGAAGTCAGGGTGGCCCAATTAACAGAGTTTTGAAAAGTTTAACAATTTTTTTTTCCTAGTTGCTACAGTTTTTCCTTCCCTTTAAAGTAACATGTGCGTTGAATCTTTTAAAAAAAATTAAACAAAAGAGCAAAAACAAAGAAACGGGAAAGGAATACTTTGTACATAAAAATAAAAGTGTTGAAAGTCTTAATTTTTTGATGTAATCATATTGTCACATTCAGGAGTTGTTTTTTTTTTATCTTGGTTTGATACAATAAAACGGTGGTTGTTTTAAAAAAAGGGAAACCGTTCATTATTTTCCATACTCCTTACAGAATACTGTGGCAACTTTGTATTACATTATTCATCAAACTTTAAAATAATGATAAGGTCCCCCACAGGGAAAGAGAAACATTGGTGTTCAAGCATTTTCTATGTGGGTATAAACACCGTCGTGAAAATACATAATATTCGACTCATGAAAATCATCATGTTTTTTCCCTACTCTAAATTCCTTCTTACCTGGACTTTTAAACGGTTTTCAGATACTCTCAATTCTATATAATTTCTCTCAATATAATTTCTAATGTTGGATTTTCCCCCCTTACCAGAGGGAGCCCCCTTGTCGAGTACTGTGATGCCGTTACCATGGCAACTCCACTGCGCTGTACAGTAGAAGCCATTTTACGGCAGTACGACACAACAAGCTATATCTTAACGGAACACACACACACCCAAGGCGTGTTAGGGGTATCTTACCCCCTTAGTATTTTTCTCCAGAGAGTAAGTCATCTATGTACTATGTTTGGTTGAAATTGCTCAAGACATTCCAGAGTTATGCTGGAACATACACAGAGAAAGAGAGATGGATGGATGGATATATTCCTTCCTGTTTTTATTTCTTTTGATCATATGGGTAATCAAACTTCTAAACAAAATTATTCCCCTAGAAAACGGAGACTGGATTCTCCTTGGCCACCTTCCCCCAAAAGGACCTTCCATTTCAGGAAAAAAAAAACCTAGATTAAATTATTTTTTTTATCTGTCTGTCTATCTTAATCAAAGTTTTAACAAGAGCATTAGGAAGTAAGACAAACTAGAAAGTAGAACGAGAAAAAAAGGGAGAAATAAAAGAAAAAGTTAAAGGTGCGAAAAAGAAAGAAAAGTAAAATAGAAAGAAGAAAATATTTTTAAAAAATGTGTAAAGAATTGGCTTCTGAACATCTCCATGAGTACAATTATATTTTAACGGCTGTCTCTAAAGTTGCATCAAGACTTTCTTTCTATAACCCCATCCTGCTTTCTCATCAAAACTACAA